TTGTCCCCACCCACCTACACCCATATAAATATACATTTCCCCTTTGTAGGCCCTCTTTTTCTTACAGGCCTACTCGTACGTTGGTTTCGGCACACCTCAACCAACTTTGCATCTCCTTCTACATTCCATTACATATTAGAAATTCCGAGCACAAATATATATATTTTTAACAGTAAATTATATGATATGATGAAATTAATGGAATCTTTAGAAAGACCATTTAATGGTGAGAAAACCGGTATATTATATGTGTGGGTACAGTAAATGAGTAAGAGGAAAATTACAGCTAAACACAAACACCGCAGAAATTAAAAACAGCCCTGGTCCCAAATGGTAAGAAAATTGAAGAGCGGTCTGGTCACTAAGGGGCTAATAGATATAAGAGATTGAAGACCATTAAAGGGACACTATAGTCACCCAGAACACTTCAGCTCAATGAAGTGGCCTGGGTGCCAGGTCCCTCAGGTTTTAACCCTGACAGCCGCTAGACACGCTACTGCGATGCTGGATGCGAAATTCGGATCCAGTGTGCAGAACGTCCATAGGAAAGCATTGGAGCATAGGGAGCAGACGTCAGCGGGGGAGGAGAGGTCACCAGCACCGAGGGAGCACGGCACTGGATTAAGGTAAGTAGCTGAAGGGGGGCCCTTAGGTTGGGGGTCCCCCAAGGATGACATAGTGTCAGGGAAACGGGTTTGTTTTCCTGACACTATAGTGATCCTATAAGTATATGTGATAATCTGATGGTCTCCGTAAGCCACCTTGTGATGGTGGTCTAGTGACCACTTTGCCCCTAGATTTTCCCTGGAATCCAATGAATAGGTGATCCGAAATCCTGAAGGGAGCAGATCTGAGAAGATAAATTTGAAAGGACTGTTTAACATCCAATGTGTGTAATTTGTTTTCTTGACTAAAAGAGGCAGAGCTATAGCAGGATGTAAGAATAATAGTTTGGTTGATTCCCTTCATAGAAATGACCTTCTGCAAGAAAGAAGGTTTATCATATAACGACCTTATCCTGATGAAAAATTGTAAATTCTTCTTAAGTAGAGAGAGCTTGAATTTCTCCAATTCTCTTTGCCAAACTGATAACCAACAGGAAAATGGTCTTGGGAAAAAAACCAAAAACAACTTCCAGAGGCTCAAATGAAGATTCACATAGCGACTTCAGAACTAAAGATAAATCCCAGAAAGGACAAAAGATTTACAAGGTGGTCTGTGTAGTAGGGTTGCTTTGAAGAAACATCTAATCAATAACTCAGAAGCAAATTCTTTCACGAGGAAATGGCTCAAAGCAGATAAATGCACCTTCAATGTAGAGACGCTAAGACCAGATTTAAAAAAAACCATCTCGAAGAAAAAAAAATGGATAACTGGTTCAATTGAAGGGGAACTTTCTAGTTGTGACAAACTCCCCCCTTCAAGTGAGTTTGCCACAAGCTCCTGGGGGAGCCTGCTTGCCAGCCTCCTGCCCACAGACTATGGGCCCTGCAGGGAAACCTGTAAAATACTACCAAACTTTATCGACTGTTAGCACTGATTTCCCTGGAACGGTTTTGGGCATAGGACCTTGTGCACGGTGGGTGTTTTTCTGTGCTTTGAGATAATTGGGTTAGATTAGTACAGTTCCTGATTCAATTATCTCCCAAGCACAAAGGAGGGATTATATTGTTTGTGTATGGAAGTGTCTCACTGTAAGACTGGTTTTATTTACTTTGTGTCCCTGTGCCCAATGTTGGGAAACTTGCATAAAATGCTGGTGTGCCTCCATTGAAAGGCTATTCCAGCTTACACTCCAAAACTGTGGGTCGCCCTGTTATTGGAGGGAAAGAAGATTTGCTCCCGTGTCTGCTGTACCAGCTTGAAGGGGATTCAACAGGGAAAGTCCTTGTAAGGACTAGAGCTAATTTTCCATTCGGTTCCAGGAAGGAATGGTTCCAAGGCCCCAGTCAAGCCACAGCAACGGTGTACAGAAGTGCTGCGGTTCGTTCCCTGTTCCATCTAGGATGCGGTCCTTGACGAAGGTATCCAGCCAGGGGTACAGGGAGCTCTGTTACAGTAGGCAGTTGTGGTCATACTACCAATGTAGAAACCAATTCCAATTTCTTAATTATATTCTCGAATTTGACTTCCTAGTAGAGCCCATCAAAAGTTCAAACCTGCTACCTTGAATGTCATGACTGAAACATTAGCCTTGCTGGAGCCATGCTGTTAATCTAAACATGAGCAATGTGTCCAGACGCCGCTGCCTGTTTTCTACCAGAGGAAGGTCAGTTGGTAGTTCACAAAATGTTACCGCCATCATCTGTAACTCTGAGAACCAACTTCTGGATGACCCTTGGAATTAAGGCCACTGGAAGAAAAAGGTAAGAGTTTGAAGTTCCAATTGATGGACAACCCTTTAAGAAATTGAGGGTGACCTTGTTTGTGAAGTGAAGCGATTTATCCTTCTGGTCATTAGATTCACATCTGGATTTCTGAATTTTCTGGTGAGAGCTGAGAATAGGTATGGATGTAGAAACCATTCTGCTTGTGACCATTTTGACCTGCTCAACTGGTCTGCTACTATGTTGTCTTTCCCCTTTGTGTGTAGCAGTCAAATCATCCAGCTCCTGTTGTGCCCAAAGAAAATATTCTGAACAAAGAAGATGAAGGGCTTTTATTCTTGTTCCACCTTGTCTGTTCAAATAAGCAACTATTGTGCTGTTCTGATTGAATTCTTACTGCTTTGCCTGAGATCCAAGTTTTGAAATGGAGAGCATTCAGGACGGCTTTTAGTTCTCGGAAGGTTGAGGATTGGTGAGCGACTCTTGTGGACCAGATACCTTGACACATATGGGATTGGAAATAAGCACCCCAACCTAGTTGGGAGGAGTCTAGTCACAATTAGCCATTCCGTTTGAATAGGAAGCTTGTTGGGGGTTTTTTTTTTCCCCCTCAAACGAGTTGACTTCTAACCTCAGAAGAAAGAACAATTTACTTTACTGTTGGAATAAAAGATGTTAATATGCCCAATAGACTCATAGCCTTGCAGCTTGGCTTTTCTGTGAATCTGATTTTGTAACCCTCTGCAATGATGCTCAGCACCCAAGGATTTCCCACGCCTGAGAAAAATATTGCAACCTGCCGCCCACTCTGCTGACGTCAACTTTTTTTCCCTTGTCTACCGGATTTATTCTTAAATCTGGTATCCTTCTGAAATCGCCGAAATTTTCTGAAATCAGTCTTGATATCAATTATTCTTGTGCGTGCAAAACTAGAAATTCTTAAAACCAGGCTTCCAAGAGAATTGTCTATCCGGTGTAAGAACACTTTTAGTTGCCTGATAATCTCTTCCAGAGGTGATCCAAAAATTAAACAAATTAAAATACACACCTATACAGTCACATAGAAACTTTAAACGGCTGATCTATTTTAGTATAATACATTAGCCCAATACATGCTAAAACAGTACTTAATACAAAATACAACTTGCCATCAATCCCATGTATATGTTGGAAGCACACAGGAAATGTGCAGAGTCCACAAAAATCACATCCAATAGAAAGGAAAGCACCAAGTTGTGTGTCAACTAAATTTAATCTCCCAACTATATGCCTACAAGACTGGTCAGAATATTACATATACACACACACTTCCACTACAAGGTGAAAAAGTATTATGAAGAGGAAAAGAAAACAACCAAACATTAATATTTCACCACCTTGCTTTAAAAAAAAAAGTCTGCACTCCCTGCCATCCATAATATAAAAACAAGGCAGTTAAGTAGTGCATCTTTATTTGTTCAAAAACAAGGAATAAAAAAAAAACAAAAAAAAAAAACTAAAGAAATCGTGTTTAAACCAAAAGAAATAAAAACAAATACAAAATAAAACAGAAAGTCAGCCCCATGCCTGCTGGAAAGGGGGAGGAAAGAAGGAAAGTGACAAAAAAAAAATATATAGGTTAAAATGCCTACAAGGGCAAATTTCACATCTACCCCCCTTCCATTGAGGTCCTTATTTGCACTAAACAGCATCCAATAAAATGCTGCCCAGAAAGTGGCTTGGTGGATAGATGAAGGCAACAGGTATACAAATAGCTTAGTTATCACAACCGAAACTTTTAAAAGTAACAACCATACATGGAAGTACATAATTGGTATTAAATACTGGATTTTTCACAAATATGGACAAAAAGTACTGTAAAGGGTTCTGCGTCTGCTTTGAGTTTTTTTAAGATATTTATCAACTGTATAGGGACAAATGTTTATTAGCTGGCATTTAACAGCTGTCACAGTTCTGAGCAAAGCGATAGGTCCCAAGGTTAACACTTGGATATGTTAAAAGGTATACATCTTTTCAGGTGGTGTGTAGGGAAGCTGGGTATTACACAAGTGAGGGCTACAGAACCCAAGTAATTTATTTTAACTCCTAAATAGTAAGTAATTGAGCAGTGACATGTAGCAAAACCATTATCCTGAAATTGGTAAGTAGCAATATCTTTGCTTATTATGGAATGCAATATTATATACACACACTTTATATAGCACCAAATGCTGTAACGCTTTTTAATGGTTGGACTAACAAACATGTAGTTGTAACCAGACAAGTTTGACACACAAGCAGAGGAGTTGAGGACTTTGCTCAATGAGCTTACATGCTAGTATGAGTGATGTAAAGTGACACAAAAAGGTAAGGGAAATAGATTGGTAGAATTGTAATAAAGACTTGGTGTACTTTTGGAGCAATTACTAGTTTAAATTGATATACTTTTGAGAAAAGGTTGGTTTTTTTGTGATTTTTTTTTTTGAAAGAGTGGAGAATGAGTCAGCGTCTAACGGAAAAGAAGGGAGTTCCGTAGGAATGGTGCAGCACTAGAGAAGTCTTGAATGCGAGCATCAGAGGTGGAAGTACGAACAGAGGATAGGGGCCTATACTTTTATATTATCAAAATTAAAGAGTGGAAGCGTAGTATAGAAGACGTCGTTAATGTAGTGAAGGAGTTAACCCTGTTTGAGAAATAGGAGTAGAAAAGGAGAGAACACAGTCCTATGCTTGAATTATACTTAAAACGTAATGGAATAAAGTATAATTCAAGCATAGGACAGTGTGCTCTCCTTTTCTACTCATACTTTTATATTAGGGATAGATAGGTGGGAGCAGCATTATGTAGAGATTTGAAAGCAAGAACCAGAATTTTATATTGAGCTCTATATCTTATGGGAAGCCAACGCAGGGACTGAGAGGGGTGAGGCGTGGACAGGAAGAGAAGCCTCGCTGCCGCACTCAGACTGCAATGGGGCAAGTTGGGAGCACCTAAAACCACTGAGAAACGGATTGCAGTAGTGGACAGTGACACGGACAAGCACCTTAGCTGCATCTGGCATTAAGTAGGGGGGGGGGATGCATGCAATGTTTGAGATGGGAGTGGCAGGATTTGGCGACCAACTGACTTGGCAGGTGAATGAGAGGTCGGAGTCAAAGAGGACACCTAGGGAGAGCGCCAAAAGAGTGGATTAGTTTACCAATGGTATAGATCAACAACAGCGAAGACCAAGGACTGAACCTTGGGGAACACCAAGAGAAAGGTTGGGAGGAAGACGTAGTGCCAGAGAAAGACACTAAAAAAGTTCTGGGTGAGGTAGGAGGAGCACCTGGAGAGAGCAATATCTTGTAGACAGAGATTACAGAGGATAAGAAGAAACTGTTTATGGTCAACAGTATCAAAAGCAGTGGAAAGGTCAAGGAGAATTAGGATAGTGTAGTGACCATTATATTTTACAGAGTAGATCTTTTAATACTTTGGTCAGAGCAGTTTCCACAGAGTGCTTGCTGAGCGTGCATGTTTGAAGGGTAATTGAGATATGCCAGAGGAAAGAGATTTAGAATTTTAGTGAGAGGCAAGAGAGACAGTATGGATGAGATGCGAGCGAATAGGATCAAAGGAGCAGGTAGTGGGGCGGGAGGACTGGAGAAAAGCACAGACCTCTTTTGCTGTAGCAGGTGCAAATAAACATAGGTATAAATAAGGTATTAAAAAGTGAATTTCAAATTATAGACCAAAATATCAGACACATTTTTGCCTCAACTGTACTTTGAACACAAACCTAATTATCTAAAGTCAGAATCAATTTGTTTTTGGATAAGCAACTTGCCCCCAACATGCTTCACGACACTAACACAATTACTTAAACAACCATGTTAAATACATTATACCAACATTTGGCAATGTAAAATTAGAGATTATACATTTTAAGAGGTCTATATTTACGCAATATGTAAACAAACCGGATCTTGTCTTCCACTAACAAAATACTTTTCTAAACTGATCTACATGCATAAGAGCAATGATGAACGCCATTTGAAGCTTGAATTTGTGAAATACACCTTCCATTGGTTTGGGAAAGAATGCATGCTTTGTACTTCTGTTTGATGGTGCTCCAGCAAATGGCTCTTACTCACCTACACAAGAAATACTACAAACACTAATTCACAGATTCATGTCAAAGAGGTTCAAAAACATTTATGGCAGAAAGTCACTTTGTTGCAGTCTTACAGTAAGAAACAAATTGTATGGTTTCACCTTTAGCACAGAACATTTGTACTTTGTTTTGTTAATTCACAATGGGAACAGATTTTATAAAAATCATGCCAACAAGAGATTCCCTCTGTACATAACTTTATTATTTACATAATACAATATAGCATAGATGCTGGAGAGCATGATTATGTGCAATACATAAATATGAACTATCTTCTGTACACATTTGCATATCTAATAACTCAAAAAAAAAAAAATACAAGGTTTAAAGCAAAATTCTGATGTTGCCAAATAAACTAGGGACAGAACACAAAAGTAAAATTTTAAAGTGAAGCCAAGTGAACATACTTCAACTATTTACAGATGAGAACAGGCATTATCACAATACTACTCTAAAAGTTGCGCTTATCTAAAAATACAAGAAATTAATTATAAGAAAACCTTCCATTAGAACACAGAAGTGATTAACAGACAAGTGAAGTCTACTGCTTTTTTCTAGAGTTGATTTGTACAAAGCTGTATGTAATGCAGCCCATGCAATATAACCAAGAAAATTACAGTCCTACACACAGGTACTATATTAAAAACAAAAGAAAATAATGTGTTTAGCAGCCCTCAATGTGGTTCCTGGTATGACTAGTGGGGGAATAAGCCTACAGCAGCCAAGGTATGGTTTCTCATGCAAATCTGTGCAATTTAGTCATACTGTAAAAAAAATTTTAAAAAAAATCCACCAGTTTAAAGAAGAAACCCATGGACTTCCATCACCTTTTCCTATGGTTAAGTTGAGAAAATAATGCTAGTTATATTGCCCAGATAGGTTTGCATAAAGGTGCTCACTGCAAGGGTTAAGTTTTAGCTATGCAATGATGTGTCGGGAAACATTCCCTGACAACCCTTAAGCATTTGTAAGATTAGAATTTTGCAGGGGCGGCAAAGGCACAGTGGGGTGGAGTTATTACAAAGTTTTTCAAAATTGCTAAATTAATGTTGAATGGCCTACCCCAACTCATAGATGAAGTTTTAGTTTTCAGTATTTCATGACCCTGTGGTATTTATGGCATTTATCAAATGTTTATTACACACTGAAGAGCAAGTACAAGACATTGCAAGAAAAGCCAATGTATGAAATTAAAACTTAAATTATGCATAACATAAAAAGGTACTTAATCACATTTTGACTGTGCAACAACTCATTCTGACCCAAGTAAAAGTAAAAAATAAACTACATGCTAGAATCCACTTGCTATAGCATGTTTCCAGTGATAAAGCTTACAGATCTTAAGGTTTTCATTATAGACTAGAACAGATCAAGATGTTAGTCTTGCAGGTAACAGGATAAAGGCGGCCCACAAAACTCCTTTAACAAAATATAGCCAATAATTAGGTGGATTCGGTGGGATTGGGAGGAGGTAAAGAAAACATTAAAAAAAAAAATTAAAAATAAAAATAACCAGGCAGGCAGATGGTATATCCACAAGAGTTTTCCATTTCACCATGAAAGTTGATCTGACGGTATCCAGTTGCAAACCAACAGGATACAAACTAAATCCATGCAGGAGTCAAAACCGAAAAAAGGGTGCAATTATGGTAAAATACATCAGTATCTGGTGCGTCAATTAATGTTACAGGTATTTTCCCAGTCATTTGCTATGAGCGATCAGACTACAAGCTGGATATCTGTTGTAGCCATGCAGCTTGGAAGCCTACTTTGGCACATTAGTTTACATTGCACCAGATGATATGCACTTAATGGAACGTGTATGCTGTCTTGAAACAGTTTGTGTTCTCTGGGCTCAGATATACAAGTTGGGAAAACAGCTGTATCAATCCAATTTTGCCTGTTTACAAACACCCAAACATTCTTTAAAAAAAAAAAAAGCGCACAATCACAAAATAAATTCTGGATAACATCAGAAGAGAAATGGACATGCATCTGCTCCTTAAAGGTTTCCCTACAATATTAAAATCAAAAATGAAAAATGTAAAGTCTTCACAAGTTGTGTATTGTTTATATTCTCTGAATTTTTTCCGCCACAACGACAGGGTTTTCTTTCCGTATTTTTGCAGCAGCTTCTGCTTTGTAATCATAAGGACAGTTGTGCTTGTCAGAGTAACGATGAAGTCCACAAAACAGATTGCCACAACGGCAGTCAAATCCTAATAGGAAATAAAAAAAATAAAAAAATAAAGAAAAGTTAGAAATATGTTATACAACAGTTAGTTTATAAAGAACTTTATAAACCACAATTACCTGTAAGGCCAATTTTCTTCCTGCACATAAAACATCTGTTCTTCTTTGGTTTAGGAAGTTCTGTGCCTTTTTCCTCACTTTGAGATGTGCTGGGTGGGGATACAGATGGACTTGGCTGGGTCACCACTGAAGTGAAAAAGCAACACAAATAAAGTTTTTAAAGGACTTGGGGAGTACAAACAGGAAGGGAGGGTGGAAAAAAAGCCACATCAGTTAGAACTGTACATACCAGGTTCTGATGATTCAGCTTTTGGAGAGGCAATATTTTCTTCCCTTGAAATGCTCATTTCTGTCATTTGCTGAGTTACAGGCAGAGATGCCACAGGCACATTTCTGAAAGAAAAGCATAACAAGGATTTAATTTTAAAACTCAGCCATTGAAATGTGTGCAGTTCCAAGCACTCAACGTTCCACTTGTTTCTTTCCCTCAGAGAGAGACACCCCAAGAATGATAGGACAGACGCACAGGACCCAGATTCTTCTGCCATTATACAAGGCTAAGCAGAAATAAAGGACCATGGAAATCAGCAGCACTCGTTTTTATATTTATTTTGTTCACAGATGACAGACACCCCACACTTTCATTGTACCTTGATTTGTCTGTTGAGCTGCCAGCAGCACTTTCACAGTTACTCAATGCAGTCTCTACTCTCTGAATAACTGCAGATTCTGATGTAGGACTACTTGAAGCACTTGCTGCTCCTAGAAGAAAAAATAAAAAGTTACTGGAAAGTCTAGCAAGTTCTTGATTTCAGACACCTGAACATAGTATATTTGATAGAGATACATAAAATTAAAAAAAAAAAACCAGTTGAATTACAAAAAACAAACCTAAACTTACATAGAACAATAAGACACTGGACAATGCATACGTTTGGAATATAGATGTTAAATATTTATAGTGCCATCTTGTACCAGTGCATGGCAGTTTACTATGTGACAAACTACTTTGCAGGATCAAAAAAAAAACAAAAACAAAAAAAAAATCTTTTGACATCTGATAATTTAGATCAGGCATATATTGCAGTTGTAAAAAAGAAAATTCCCCCTTTTTCCCTTTGGTTTTTACTATATATTGCAGTTGTAACAGTAAGGGTTCAGAAACACCCCAACAAGCATAGGTTTTTCCTGGTACCTGAAACGTGTATATAAAGCCACGGAAACATGAAAATAACTTCAAAACATCTTCAAACCTTCGGTTTTCCCAATTTAAAAACCATGGATAAGCATGGTTTGTAAAATCACCAGCTTAGCATTCTTGCCAACTGTTTAATTAAAAACTTTGTTACAAATCTATGTAAAGAATGCATTGAGACAACATTAAGTGGAGGACAGAAATGCACAGAAATCTGTCCCTTATGCTCCATGCACTTTGCATCCAGTAAAGCGCTTCTTTTTTAAACTAAAAAAAAATTAATTTATAAGACAGTAAGACAAGCCATTTAAAGGGACACTAGTCAACAGAGCAACTACAGCTTGTTGTATTTGTTCTGGTGACTATAATCATTCCCTGCAGGCTTTTTCAAGAAACATTGTCTTTTCAGAGAAAATGCAGTGTTTACATTTCATACAGTCTAGGGATAGCTCCACTGTTCATGATCCAATAGTGTTCGTTTAAGTCTTAAAGGACCACTATAGTGCCCTAAGGGTGCCCCTCCCGCCTGGCTCTGGAGAGAGGAAGGGGTTAAAAATCTTACTTTTCTCCAGCGCCAGACGGGGAGCTTTCCTCCTCCTTCCAAGCGATGTCATCGGCTGAATGCGCATGCGTGCATTCAGGCAGTTCATAGGAAAGCATTTACAATGCTTTCCTATGGACGCTGGCATCTTCTCACCGATTTTCACAGTGAGAAGCACGCAAGCGCCTCTAGCGGCTGTCAATGAGACAGCCAATAGAGGCTCTAGAGACTGGATTAACCCTCAGTGTAATCATAGCTGTTTCTCGGAAATTATTTATTTTTTTAACAAAGGTTAACCCTAGCTGGACCAGGCACCCAGACCACTTCATTAAGCTGAAATGGTCTGGGTGCCTATAGTGGTGCTTTAACAGGAACTGATGACATTCACAAAATGACCACCAATTTACAACTAAGCAAACAAGATATGAAAGCAGTTCAAATTTTAGACTGTATACTGTAATAGCTTGCCATGAAAATGCCAATATTCATCTTTTAGTATGGGGAAATGTGAGGGACAAATCATTTACAAGTCTATTAACCCCTTAAGGACACAACTTCTGGAATAAAAGGGAATCGTGACGGAATATTTCTGTCATGTGTCCTTAAGGGGTTAATGTAATATTTATCCATTTATAGGTTTAGTTATATCACTGCATAGGCAAACTGCTAAATATAGTATTAAACAGACAGTCCATCCCCATAACAACTGGAGTACCTTACATGGTATAAGCCATTTACAAATTGTTTAACACCAAAGTCTGTTCCCAGATGCCTATTCTCACGGTCTCCTATTGTCCTTGTGGGCATCCTGAAAACAGATTAGAGATCTGGGTGCAATAATGCAAAGGGTGTCAGCTGATGTCATCAGCATATCATGATCTGTTTGTGAGTAACCATAAATAAAGAGTCCATCCTGGTAATTGTTGGTATGGTACTTACACACCTCAGCTATAACAAGCATTCTGGTTATATTCCAACGCATCCATTCTGTTGATGTACACTTTTGACACTAAACATAGCATAAACCCCACCAGATTTGAGTGACTTTTCTAAATGCATAAATTTGTTTCATATCCACTTATTATTGCAGTACCCAATTTACATGTTCCTTTGCGTATTTGTAAGGTACAGTATAAAGACTGAATGAAATGTCTCTTGAAGATTGCATTCCAAAAAAAAAAAAAAAGTGAATACCTTTGTAATTGGGCTCCAAAACCTATTGGTCTCCAAGTCACAATCATGCCTCCCTAAATATAGTAACTCTTACTTGTATTCAAGTCTGCAGCTGCTTATTTGGTCCCAGTTTCCTTTAGACTGGCCCACTGCCATCAGCAGAAGTGGAAGCCTGATCCAATCACAATGCTTCCACATAGGATTGGATGAGACTGTCAAGGAGGCAGATCAGGGGCAGAGCCAGCACAATTCAAACAGCCCTGGCCAATCAGCATCTCCTCATAGAGATGACTGGAATCAATGAATCTCTATGAGGAAAGTTCAGTGTCTGCATGCAGAGGGAGGAGACACTGAATGTTTGCATGCATTTTGGGCAGCCATGACCCAGGAAGGATCTCTAACAGCCATCTAAGGAGTGGCCAGTAAAGTTATCACTAAGCAGTAATGTAAACAATGCATTTTCTCTGAAAAGAGTTTGCAGCAAAAAACCTGAAGGTAATGATTCTACTCACCAGAACAAATTCAATAAGCTGTGGTTGTTCTGGTGACTATAGCTTCCCTGTAATGAAGCAGTTTGTGTGCAGATCATGCCTCTGAACCTGCATTGCTCAGTTGATTTAATTAGGCGTTAAGTCACTTGTGTGTTTATGCAGCCCTAGCACACCACCCCTGGCGGACAGCCAGCATGAAACCAAAATGGTTTCATTTTCAATCAGTTGTGACTTACTGCAGAGTCTAGCAATCTGTTAACAGAACAGGAGATACATTCTAAATTAAACAATTTGCAATAAAGGACATGTTAACATTAGCGCTCTTTACAGGAAGTATTTCAGAAGGCTGTGTAAGTCACATGCAGGTGCACAGGGCTATATAAACAAAGTGATTAAACTCCTTAATGGCAGAGATTGGAGCAGTGAGACTGCATGGGGCATGAGCTTTACACAAAAACGGCATCATTAACCCCTTAAGGACGGAGCCAAATGTACACGTTGTGAACGAAATAAAATGTAAACAAAACCTGGAATTTGCGCTACATGTCTGTCCAACCGTAATTCACCTATTTCATAGTAAATGCACCCACCCTTATTATATATCATTTTATTCAGGGGAAACAGGGCTTTCATTTAATATCAAATATTTAGATGTGAAACATAATTTAATATGAATTTTTTTTTATTTTTTTTATTTTTTTTAGTTCTACATGACATTTTAACTGTCAATGTCATAATACTGTTTGCTTTTACTGCAATAAAATACACATATTTATATTCAGCAAAGTCTCACGTGTAAAACCCCTATGTACAGGTTTTATGGCGTTTTGGGAAGTTACAGGGTCAAGTATAGCACGTTACATTTAAAATTGAAATTCGCCAGATAGGTTACGTTGCCTTTGAGACTTTATAGTAGCCAGGAATGAAATTTACACCCATAATGGCATACCATTTGCAATAGTAGACAACCCAAGGTATTGCAAATGGGGTATGTCCAGTCTTTTTTAGTAGCCATTTGGTCACAAACACTGGCCAAAGTTAGCGTTAGTATTTGTTTGTGTGAAAAATGCAAAAAAGCGCCAATTTTGGCCAGTGTTTGTGACTAAGTGGCTACTAAAAAAGACTGGACATACCCCGTTTGCAATACCTTGGGTTGTCTACTATTGCAAATGGTATGCCATCATAGGGGTAATTTTCATTCTCGGGCTACCATAGGGTCTCAAAGGCACCGTAACCAATCTGGCAAATTTTAATGTGAAAAAAATGAAACGCAAGCCTTATATTTGACGCTGTAACTTTTGAAAACACCATAAAACCTGTACATGAGGGGTACTGTAGTACTTGGGAGACGTCGCTGAACACAAATATTTGTGTTTCAAAACAGTAAAAAAGTATCACAGCAATAATATCGTCCGTGTAAGTGCAGTTTGTGCATGAAAAATGCAAAAAAACGTCACTTTTACTGGTGATATCATCGTAATACATTTTACTAATATTTGTGTTCAGCGAAGTCTCCCGAGTAGAACAGTACCCCCCATGTACAGGTTTTATGGTGTCTTGGAAAGTTATAGGGTTAAATATAGTGCTAGCCAATTAAATTCCCTTTACTTTCGGCATGGGTTGTCAGGCAGGTCCCGCTAATTGTAATTAATTAAGATACCTAATTATGTAAAAATATTACATAAATATATATGTAGAATTAATATATGTATATATATATATATACGTATGTGAATCTATATGTGTATATCTATATAATGTTTTTAAAATATTTTTATTTATATATACGTATATATTTATGTATGTAGATATATATATTATTTCGTTCTACGTGTATTTTGATATAAATATATATTAATATCACAATACAGTTAGAATGAAATAACACACATCTATATATTTTTTAATTAATTTTTTTAAATATTTTTTTTTTCATTTTATTTTTTAACGTATTTACATATTTTTTTTTATATTATACATAAATATATATATAACAATAATTATATATATATTTAACCAGTATCAGTCTACGTGTAATTTGATATTAATATATATATATATATATATATATATATATATATATATATATATATATATATATATATATATATATATATATATATATATATATATAATCTAAGTATATTTTTTTTACACTAATACATTTTATTTTAATTTTATTTTCAGCCAGCAGGGGGACCACCTGTCATTACAGGCAGCCCCACTGCTGGCAATACAGAAGCCAGCTATCCCCAGCCATGTGATTGTGGGGTCCTCGCTAGGACCCCACTCTCACATGGCCGGGGGTCACCGGAGGAGAAGGATCTGCCGCGGGGGGGCTCCCTGGGAGTCCCCCCCACCGCGATCGCCGGCGTGGGACCGCCGGCGACCGGGTAAGTGAACAAAAACCGGAGGGCGTACAATTACGCCCGCCGGCGTTTAGAGCCGCCTAAAATAGGGCGTAATTGTACGTCCCCCGGTCTAAAGGGGTTAAACCATGACTGTTTTGGTTACTATAGAGATTGTATCCACCAGAAAATAAATTCTCAGGTCATAGAGGGTATCGGACCACTGTTCAGACCACTAAATACTACAGGTCATCCCCAAACTGATATAAGTCTTCACAATGTTTCACTTTATATCCACAGTTTAGATCAAGGATTGAGGCCTTAAAATTAGCTTATGAACACAAGACTAAGTATGCTGCCACACCTTCACTCCCCAATGGAGAGGAAATTTTGAACAATGGCTCAGATGTATACTCGTGAATGGAAAAGCCATTAATGACCACATCACAGTACGTCAGCTTGAAGAAGTACTTTCATGTGCATTTACATTTAAAATCCTTCACACTGGTAACTTTACATAACAGACAATTTATGCATCCATACACCTCTGTTTTATTTCCGGCTTTGAAAGTGAAGCTTTATTAGAGAGAAAAATCTGTCAAACCCTGCATTACATGTTCACTTTACATTTTGAACCACTTACAAACGAACTAGTCAAATAAAGGCAAACAATTATGCAGCCCATATACACTGAAGTAGATTTTAGGAGATCACATCTATCTTAAGAAAACTTACCCATTGGGCTAATCCTTCCACTATTCTGCCTTTGAAGATGTTCTTTATAACAAACTGAACACATTCCGTTTGTCCTTGGATTTCCATAAAATCCACAGCCTGTATTGCACAGCATAGGTCCTGGTGTTTGATTTGTTTCCTGAGCCATTTTGTATGCTATAAAAACAGAGACACAAAGTTAGAATTAATCACCACTGTTGCATACATTTAGAGCTGGTTTAAAAAAAAAAAAAAAATTAGCTTTTAAGGAATAACCAATTATTGGTCTGGCAGATATTTTTGGCAATAACGTATCGGCCTATAAAGATACAGATATTGCCAATAATGCAGATGCAGACCAGGTTGTCATGGAGGGTCTGCAGCAAGCTCTTACTTACCTTCCCAGCAGCTCCCCTGTCTAAATATTGCAAGTCCGGTTGCCGGAAGAGCGTTGCCACGGGTTACTGCGGCATGCAGGCCACGAGAGAGTTAGTCAGGGGAGCTGAAGGGAAGGCAAATAAGAGCTTGCTGCGGGCCCTCCACTGCACAGTCCTTGCCACTGGACCACCAGGGAACACCCCGCAGCCCATTTTACACACACACTAATTACTATCACTGCATCCACTACACACATTCTTGACAACTTCCAACTGGCATGTGTATTTGGGCATTTAACTTAATAAAAAAGTTGCAAAAAATTAAGACATGACCAAGTTAACAGTAGATTTGTATAGAAATAGTTTCTTTTTTCAAAACGGTAAATGTACAGAATATCGGCAAGTTATTGGCCTGAAAGTTCAGATTATCAACTCAAAAACCACAACACACAATATCGGTCGATCCCTAGTAGCTTTTTGGATTGTAATTTACAACTACTTAAAATACAGTTCAGACAAGAGTAACAATACTCTAAGACCTCAGAACAGAGGGCTTAGATGCAGCAACCATAAGGAGGAGAAAAAAAAAAAAAAACAAACACTAAAACAAGCTACAATACAGCTATAGTTCACCAATGTCCAAGGTTGTCCAACACAATGGAGTCTCCAAATAGTGTGAAAACTCACCCTAGCTTTTGTGGTCACTAACACACAGCTACTTTAAATAACCTTGCATGAGAAACTGTCTGTGGCACAATGGCGACAGCTGTCATCAATTCTGTGGCACAATGAAAACAAGGACTTTATAGGGTCAAATTAAACAAGTAAATTGCGTAAAACTGAATAAGCATTAAATATACTGAATAAGTAGTTAAGAGGTTTACACAATACAGAATGCTCAGCCACAGAACCACATTGAGCACAGAATTCTACCAGGTTGCTAAAAAGCACCTGTTTAGTTATTGGTGCCCCCTAAAATGAACGTATTACAGAGGACCAAGTTAAATAAAGGTCACAGAAAGATAATTGAATATTTGGTTGTATTTGCATTTATTAGAGGTAAAAATAGTAATGTTCTTAAGTCACTTTACACTCAACCTATCAGGCCTTATCTGTTCTGGAGACCATATTTTCAGGAAGAAATAAGCTTTTTAGTGGAGGTATGAAGAGATGCCTGGAGCCAATGCACTGCTCCGTATGAGGGGAACAGTCACTTCCCTGGAATCGCATACAGGAGCTTATATCCATGACTGACAGGGAGCCAGGAGATGCACAGCTGTAAAAGGTGTGCATTTCTTCATTTTTCACACATTAACAAATTGGTTAAGGCAAAATTAAGTATTCAGGAAAGGGACAGATCCTCTTTACATAGTTTTCAGTTTGACACAGATTGTCCTAGGCTGCTGCTTTTGTATAAGCCAGAGCAGTGAGGTCGAAAGCATCGGTTCTGAACTCTCAGACCATCACTGCCACCTATTGCTACATTGGCCTAACAGTTCCTGTGCCTTTGTAACACCTCCAGCATAAGAGGCCACAGGAGACCTTCATTTAATAGCAAGCTACTCAAAAAGGACCACTATAGTGCCAGGAAAACAAACTGGTTTTCCTGGCACTATGTAGTTTTTAGGTCGCCCTTACAGCTGAGCCGAGGGGGTTAAAACCCCTTCAGCCACTTACCTTAATCCAGCGCCAGTCTTCCTTGGCACTGGTGACATCTCTCCCGCCGACTTCAGCTCCCGAGTAGAGCGGAATGCGCGGCCAGAGCCGCACGCAGTCAAACCGCCCATAGGAAAGCATTACTCATTGCTTTCCTATTGACGTTCGGCGAGTTCAATGCTATTTTCGCATTGAGTGTCGCAGGAGCACCTCTAGCAGCTGTTGGGAAGACAGCCACTAGAGGCTGGATTAACCCTGCAATGTAAACATAGTAGTTTCTCTGAAACTGCTATGTTTACATCTGAAGGGTTAAAACCTGGAGGAGCTGGCACCAAGACAACTTCATTGAGCTTAAGTGGTCATTTAATATTTAACGGTTGTATGGCATTCGGAGACTAGCACAATAACCACTTCCAAGTGTCCCTTAAAGCATTTCTTACAGAAAGAGTTAAACAGTTGTGAAATTCCAGCTTAAAAAGGTTATGAACACTCAAGTGAATATTTTATTTACCATAGCAAGTTAGTATATTTAACCTCCATGAACACATGCATTTCTTTGCTTGTGCACATATTGTATTTCCCATCACAGATTTGCAAACAAAGGTTTCCAAAGATTATCAAAGAACTGCAGGGACTCTAGCTCAGCATGCTCTGTGGAGATGACTGAAGCAAAAGCAAACCTCCCTGGATAATTTTGCATCCAGTTCTAGACATGTGCAAATCCTTTTCAGCTATGAATGAATCAAACTCCTGAGAATGTATGCCCAAATTATATGATTGGTCTCAAATCCACAAGTAAATCTCAGACAGATCAATTCATTTAGGGACAGATTAACTAACATCTGATTTCTTCAACGCAACTCACTTTTATATTTATTTTAAACAGTCACAAATATCTGCAAGCTGGAGAGTCAAGAGTGTTTACAAAAATCACATTTAACATGGGAAGCCTGGATGAGGCTTTTTTGCTTCTCAGTTCCATCAAAGTATATGTATGAATGCAACATCAAAAAATGATAACAATAGAGTCAGGAACACAAACATGTATTCCTGACCCTTTAGTGCTAAACCCACCATTTAGGTGGCTTCCCCCACCCTATAAAATTTTAAAACTCCTTATTTCCAGCTCTGCACGTGTTTGCTGGTGCTGGCTCCGCCCCTTTGTGACATCAAAATGGCTGACTTTAAGCCAATCCAATGTCTTCCCATAGGGAAAGCATTGGATTGGCTAAAATCGGCACGGGGCAGGGCCAAATGCAGTTTTGGCCAATCCGTGCCTCCTAGTTTAAATTCCCAATAAAACTACCCAAGTAGCATCAAAATAAGCATTTACATCACTTCTGACTGCATATGGGGGAGTGGGAATGTAAGAGTAATTAGATTTTGATTAAAGGCTTCAACATGCCATGGACACCTCAGTTCTTTGAGTCTGTATGTGCAGCATTTTACCATATACAAAGATACATTGAACAGCCACAACATAAAAAATAAAATAAAAAAAATGACTTCCTAATATCATGTAGTTTCCATTGGGCTGCCAAAATAGCTCTGGTTCACACAAGACCTCAAAGTATCCTGTGGCAGAGGATGTAAGTTGCGAGGATGTAATTGTTCCAGCACATCCCACAGATGCTCGGTTGGATTTAGATCTAGGGAATTTGGAGGCCATGGCAACACCTTGAATTCTTTCTCATGTTCTTCAAACCATTCCAGAGCAGTTTTAGCAGCATGAATTATCCTGCTGAAAGATGCTAATGTCATCGGGGAACCTTACTGCCATGAAGGGGTATACAACAATCTCAAGGTAGGTGGCCGTATAAATTTAACATTCACATGAATGAAAGGATGCAATGTTTCCTTGCAGATCATTTCCCAGTGCATAACACTGAATCTGCAAGGCTGCCTTCTTCCCATAGTGCTTCCTGCTACCATCTCTTCTCCAGATAAAAATGATTTTCAACCTTCTTAAATTGCTTCATGGTCCAACTCACATGTCCCCACTGAAGGCGCTTTCAGTGGTAGACAGATGTCATGGTCAGGAGTTCCAGGATAGCTAGTGTCAGTTCTGTGCATGCTGAACATCTGTTGTCAGCACACACAGTATAGAGGAAGGTCATCACCGGAGAAGGATCAGGCTCTGAGCCAGGAAAAACACAGACAAAGAATAAACCAATTTTCTGGAATTAAAGGATGTCCAAGATAGGTTTATACATTAACCACTAGCTCATTTATAGATGGCACATCTGAAGACGTTGGTGGGAAAAATCTATACACACACCCCTTGTCATTATTGCACTGTGCAATTACAACACAATAGGATGTAACTTTAGCGCAATACCATAATCACGAAAAAAAAAGCACGAGTTAAGCACACTAGAGCAAAACAGGACTACAGTGATTGCCACCAAGTGACACTTTTTCCTGTTGGAGAAGACCAGGTGTTACAAGGCACCAGGTAAGTGGTCAAACCATGTAGTGAAAAAAAAATTAAAAAAATCATCAGAAACTGCTATGTTTATGTTAGCGTTAATTCAGCCTCCAGTGGCTGTCTCTTGACAGCTGCTAGAGGCGCTTGCGTGCTTCTCACTGAAAATCACAGTGAGAAGACGCCAGCGTCCATAGGAAAGCATTGTGAATGCTTTCCTATGGACTGGCTGAATGCGTGCACAGCTCCTGCGCATTCAGCCGAAGAGGAGGAGAAGAGCTCCCAGTCTGGCGCTGGAGAAAGAGGTAAGTTTAACCCCTTCCTCTCCCTAAAGCCCGGCAGGAGGGGCACCCTCAGGGCACTATAATGCCATGAAAACAAGTATGTCCTTTAAAGGTGCTAAAAACGGTCTGTGATTGGTTTAAGCAAGTTGCTTCCAGGGCTCCTTTTAATAGTATATTCTCACTTCACTGCTTGGGTGCCATAAGGAGTAGAGAGGGAGAGCTTTGGGTACCATTGATTGCCTGAGGGCATCAATTGACACTGTTCCCAGGAACTCAAGACCTTCATTAAAATTTAAGGTATTTTGAGAGTAACGTTAAATAAATTTGCATGGTGCACTCTGGCTGTGCCAAAACTCCCAGGCGAAAGCGAAGAAAGTTAAAATAGTTCTTTAAAGCATTGTCTCATCAGTGTAATACCCAGGGTAACGCATTAAGTGGGTTTTATTAACCAACAAGAGTATGAAACACAGGTAGGCAACATTCGCCATTCCAAACGTTGTGAACTATATCGGACATACTGCTTGCAAAGCATTATGAAATATGTAGTCGACAACATATGGAGTGCGGCAAGTTGCCTACATTTAGATTAGACAATAGAAAATGAAAATCCAAACCGCAAAAAATGTATGCCTACATTGCTTATTTAGAAAAGTTCACAAATCCAGCTATAACCAAAGTTTGGCAAATTTGATTTAAATATTTATATTCATATTAAAAACAAAGAAACCCGAAAGTGTAAAATGTACGAAATACAAAGTGATTTTTTTTGCCAAGATAGTCAAATTGGAAATGGTCAACAAGCTGGCAATGCTTTCAGTAAAGCTATTTTGGACCAAACTCGCCTCAACCCAGGTTAAGGAATAACCCTGTCAGTACCATTTAGATCACAGAAGTCCCCACCTGACTTGAACTCTAAATCACTTATACAGCTGGCCAAAAGGGTGCTTAACATAGTAGATGGAATTACATAGGCTGCTTATTTTCTTGCACATCACTTCATCTATTGTGAATATTAAAAGGACACTAGTCACCAAAACAAATTTAGCTGATTGAAGCAGTGTGTATAGATTATGCCTCTGAAGTCTAAATGCTCAAGTCACTGCCATTTAGGAGTTGCATCACTTTTTTATGTCCATGCAGCCTTAGACACAGCATGCATGAAACCAAAATAGTTTATTTTTCAATCAGATGTGACTGACTTTAAACGTTTTTATCTCCTGCTCTGTAAATTGAACTTTAGTTACATACATATGGCTCCTGCAGGGTCTAACAAGTTATTAACAGAGCAATAGATAAATTCTAAATTAAATAGAATTTGCAATAAAGGAGGCAAATTAGATGTCCCTTTACAGGAAGTGTTTAGGAAGGCTGTGTACATTACATGCAGGGAGTGTGACTAGGGCTGCATAAACAAAGTCAATTAGCTCCTTAATGGTAGAGAACTGAGCAGTGAGACAGCAGGGGCATGATCTATACACAAAACCTGCTTTTATTAAGCTAAAGTTATTTTGGTGACTATAGTGTCCTTTTAACCAAGCATTACTGAGGCTGCAGTCACAGTCTCCACCATCAGTCCTGTCAACCCCAAAATATACAATATTACCGTTGGCACCAATATAGTTCAAAATAAAGTCATTAACGATCTCATTTTTGCTGCACTTAAAAGTTTTGTTAGTGGAGGTTAAATTCTCTACAGTAAAGAGTACATGACAGAAGGTAAATCTGGGTAAACTATGCAGAAGGTCTTATCTGTTAAGGTAACATCAATAACATGGATGACTCACTCAATAGGATGCAGAGCCTAGGGACAAAAATGCAACAGTTATGAGTATTCAATCCATTATGTGTGGACCATATAAAGCATACAAGTTTAAATTAAATATTAGGGGCATAGCAGCAGAGTTATACCTCTGTTACATTATTTTTTGTTTTAAATTTGGATTAAAAATAAAAGTTTGTATGCTGAACACTATATTGTTTTCCTTATGAACACAGTACAGAAGGCATTCTAATCTAGTTTGAGACCCTACAAATTACATAGATATAGTAAACTCCCCTTGCCCAAACAGTAAGGCAATGCCTGAAATGGCCTTCCACTAACGATACAATATCATTCCCAACCCCCAGTGAAAAGCAGATTGTAATGCAACATGTCCTGCTAGCTTTAGTATTTCTCAGAAGCTCACATCACATGGGAGGGTGCATTAGCTTCCGCATGTCACAAGGCTGCAATGTGACAGGCTGATCTGCAGCTCAGACACAAACCCAGTCAACAGGGGCCTCTGAAGTCAGCTTCTATTTATAGCCAAGGCTGCCAACTCCTATACAGCAAGGATACGTAACAAGGCATACACTATGCACTGCCAATAGAGGTTTACACCTTTCTAGTAGTACAACTGTCTCAACGGTAACAAATGACAATATATCTATAGATCATGTATTTATCTAATACATGTGCCACTGCTCCTATTTGAGAATGCTAAATATCCACACAGGCCTATATATATTAAATTAAACTTACAGTACATAGTGATTTGACAATCTACTGTATCATAAAGTTGCATTAGAGGGTTTCACAGGCAACGATGACTAACAACATTTGACCTCAGACCAGTCCAGCAAGTCAGAGAGAAAGGTGGTTAATAGACCTCTAGTAAGCAGGACAGACCTAGCTAGGTAATAAACCCCAACTTTTGTGGAGTGATATGATGAATACTATTGGGTAATAGCAGCACAACAGCAGCTATTAAAATACAAATCCACACAAAACATTTACATTGGGTAGTATGTGTGCAGTAGTCATATAGTCTTAATTCAAACGCCAATTATTAAATATTTTTCTAAGATCAAATACATGATAGACAAGAGACTTCACCGAATCAGGAAACTTCCTATTTAGAAGCATTATTACTATTGAACTATATATATATATATATGTGTGTTAGAGGGTACATTGTGGCAGTGACGGAGGGCCCAGCTTAAACCTCTTGAAGTAACATTACTTGCCCTCCAACACAAAGAGGAGGAGGAGCCTAGTCATGGTGTGCTGGAGACAAAGGAGGCAGACCTTGCTCCACCATGGAGACAGGAAACCCGAGGCAAAAATAGGACAAAAACAGCAAAAAAAAAAAAAAAAAAAGTTACTGTTTGAGAGAAATAAGAAACCCTCCCACCCACCCCCTCCTCCTCCCCAGACCCTCCCTCTAGCAGACACGGCCCGAGTGAGCCTGGGCCTAACCAAAAGCCCTGAGTCATTGTACCAGCCAGCCCCCCCACACACACAGAGCGCAGTGCTGGGAGCACGTTACACCCGGCTGGCTGCACACAGTACCGGGCGCAGTGACCCGTCTGACAGAGCGGCCATACTGCCCGGATCACACCGGGTCACCGAGCTGTGAGGCTATCGGACACCCCGCCCGCCCGCTCCCAGGCCCTCCATATATGGCTCTCCCCGAGAACAACACGGCCGGCCAGCCCCCCCTCATACAGGGAGCCTGGCACGGAGCAACACGGAGACAGCCAGCACCGCCCGCCGGGGGACACTCACCTTTCACGGTTACCGTCACCAACAACAACAATATAACGGGCAGCCGCTAGGACACACTCTCCGTGACAACCAAGGCCTGTCCGAGCCGCCGGGATCACTCCGCCTGGCCGGGATACGGATCGTGATAACAAACGGAACGCGTGCCTGAGCCGCCGGGGCTGCGCCCTCCTCCTCACCCGCTCCCTCTCCGTACACACTGTGCCCGCCGCCTGCCTGCTCAGCCTTTACTCTCCCAGAGGGCGGGGACAGAGCGACCATAGACACGCCCAGAGGGCGAGAGGTGCCCCGACGTCATACGTTGCCTCTCAGTGGGCGGGGCGAGCTTTGGTTGCTGACTGAGGCGAAAAAGCCCCTACAACGCCTGAGTGAGTGGAACGCCGCTGCCACGTCACTCGTGGTACAGCCAATCAGCGCGGCCCAGACTGGCTCTGCTGCTCCCTCACACTGTGTTCCCGGATCAGAGCCGCGTCATAGATTAATCATGGCGGTCCGATGTGACCCCGTCCGCTGACTCCAGCCTGTGACTGGCTCTCACCTGAAATGTCTAGTTTCAGTTTTGTAATCACTTCCTGCCCGAGCTCGGCAGACATGCTGGGTGGAGGGAGATTACAGGAAGCGCAGTTGGTTTTGTTACGTCATATATGTTGTGTACATTATTATCAATATAAAAATCAGCTCAGAAATAACATGTCTATTAGACTCCTATACAGGACCCCCGCATACTTGAAAACAAGAGAAATCTTAATGTATCTCTTCTGGTAAAATGTATGTAAATAATAATGGAGCACGCTTAGCTTGTAACAAGGGCGGCAGGCACTCTACGTTGTCCTTAAAGAGGCGGCTCTAAACCTGCGAGGCGGCTCTAAACCTGCAGGGCGGCATAGTACGCCAGGCGCCCTACTGCTCCGCACTTGCCAAGACCCACGATCTGTCACCCACGATTTGGTTGGTCGGGTAGTCCCCCAAAGTGAAAAAGTACAATAAAAGCATAGCAATAACATATTATACATAAATATGTAAAGTATGCTATAAAATAATAATAATCATAATAAAGTATTTCACCAGGAAAGGTACTTTCAGATTACTCTGGTTTTTAAGCCCTTAAGGACCGGACTGTTTTTGCGATGTATGTTAACCCCTTAAATCCGCAGGGCGTACTATTACGTCCTGCAGGAGCCGGCTCTAAACGCCATCGGGCGTAATAGTACGCCCTCGCTATAATGGCTGGCGCTAATCGCCCGCTGCAGATCGCGGTCGGGGGGGATGCCTGGCCCCCCAGGCAACCCCCCCTGTGGCCGGTGACCGCGATCTGCAGTCTCTGATCGCAGTGACAGGCTGTCACTGCGATCAGTATTTAACGTGTGTCAGCCGATTTCAAATCGGCTGACACACGTGGCCGGCGGCTTTCTGCTATGCAGATCGCGGTCGGGGGACTTACCTGGCCCCCCAGGCAGTCCCCCTGGGGTCAGTGACCGCGATCTGCTAAGTCTGAGATCGCAGTGACAGGCTGTCACTGCGATCAGTGTTACATGTGTCAGCCTAATGGCTGACACATGTAACAGGCGCAATGATCCCCCTGCAGATTGGTAGGGGGAGTGCTTGTACCACCCAGGCACTCCCCCTGTGGTCAATTACCCAATCTGCAGGAGGTGATCACAGTGACAGGCAGTCACTGTGATCACTGATCCTGTATGTCAGCCAGTGATGTGAAATCACTGGCTGACACTGTCTCTGCCCCCTCTCCTGTAATAAAAATAAAATATTAGTTTAAAAAAATATGTTTTTTGACTTTTGCTTGAAAAATCTTTTTGTTACCTATGAAAGTTAATGAAAAAACCTGCTAAATAGATTCAAAATGTTGTCCCGGTTTTAAAAACACCCAGTGTTTGTGAGCTTTTTTACTTTTTTTTTCAAGCTATAGGGCTATAAGTACAAATAGGAAATTGCTGTTTCAAAATATATATTTTTAAAGTGTATCAATAGTGACATTGTAACACCGTTATCTGTCATAAGTCTCTGAATCACACCTCACATGTACATATTTTTTTAAAGTAGATAACCCAGGGTATTCAATATGGGGAATGTCCAGTCTTTTTTAGTAGCCACTTAGTCACAAACACTGGCCAGAGTTAGCATTTATATTTATTTGTGTGTTGAAAATGCAAAAAACTATTATGAACACTAACTTTGGCCAGTGTTTTTGACTAAGTAGCTACTAAAATAGACTGAATATACCCCATTTGCAATACCTTGGGTTGTCTTCTTTTGCAAATGGTATGCCATCATGGGGGTAATTCTCATTCCTGGGCTATCATACGGTCTCAAAGGCAACATAACCAATCGGCAAATTTCAATGTGAAAATAAAGAAATTCAAGTCTTATATTTGGCTCAGTAACGTTTGAAAACACCATAAAACCCTTACATGAGGGTACTGTTATACTCAGGAACTGCAGAACACAACTATTAGTGTTTCAAAACCGTAAAACGTATCACAACAATTATATCGTCACTGAAATTACCGTTTTTGTGTGTGAAAAAAAAAATAAAAGTATTTTTACTGACGATATCATCGTTGTGATATGTTTTACTGTTTTTAAACACTAATATTTGTGTTCAGCTAAGTCTCCCCCATATACGGGTTTTATGGTGTCCTGAAAAGTAACAGGGTTAAATATAGGGCTTGCAAGTCAAATTCTTCGGACTTTCTGCCTGGGTTGACTTGATTATGTAAAAATATCATATAAATATATTTGTAGAATTTAAATATATATATGTGTATATATATATATATATATATATATATTTTATTTTATTTTAATATTTTTTTATTTATATATAGCTATATCTACAACAAAAAATGGCTACTGATGAAAGTTTGGGTGACAAACTGAAACGTTGATCTTTTAATTTTGAAAATAAAAGTTAAGTTTTATTTTTAATACTTTTGGAGTCCTGGGAGTGCTATCTCTATTTGGTTATATATATATAGAGAGAGATATAGATATATATATATATATAGATACATATATGAATTTATAACGTCACTCTAAATGTATTTTGAATTTAATATATATGTATATTAATATCAAAATACAGTTAGAACAAATTAAAACTAATATAATTTTTTTATTTTTTTTACTTATTGATTATTTTTCATTTTATATATATATATATATATATATAATTTACATAATTCTAAGTGTATTTTAATATGAATATATATATATATTAAAATACACTTTTATTAATGATGTATGTGTACTGTGGTAAAAGCAAGTCTTATGGTTTGACTGGTGTGCAGATTTTTGTTTAACATAGTATTGACTATCCACAAACTTCAGGTGGAAGGGGTTTTCAATCACAATTTTTTCCCCACCATAACCTTCTTGGTTTTTGCTTCCCAAGCACTACCAAGCCTCACTAGCAAACCAGTAACCAACCTCATGCTGATGATTTGCATTTACAATGAAACAGCTGTCCATGAGTGGTTCACTGGCTTTGCATCTTTTCCTAAGTTGTGTTTCAAAGCTGTTGTATACAGCAAACACAGACTCAAAGGAATCCATGTTTAAAATGGAATGAGGCAAAAATGTGATTCTTTGTTAAACTAATTTGCATATGCCCACCCAGAATCCTTGGCGATAGTAACATCACTGCACATTTGTGACTTCTGCTGGAAAAGTCTTATGGCTTCATTGGTGTGCAGGTAATGGAAAAGTCCAAGGAGAACCTCGGAGAGGCCACCAGTCAAGAAAATCTCAGCTGCATCGTCAATTCCCCTCCAAGGGATAACAGAAGCCACCATAGCGTTCCACATCACAATGGCCACATAGATGCGACAGGAGACATCGGAGCACTCGGCGAACATCAGGCCCCCCTGGTCAACAACAGGACTTTACGGGCATGACGGACTCTCTACTCTGCACCCCCCCCCCTCGAAAGGCAGTTGATGAGATCCAAAGGACAAGACTTCAAAGCACTGACACAGAAGACTGCAGCTCCTGCACCTTAAAACAGAGGTATAGCAGCTTGGCTGTCAGGGGCATATCCTCAGAAAATGGACTGAGGTTGAGAGGCTTCAAAACGTGTATCCAGACAGGTATATGGGACCACTTGCAACCATTCAAAACTGGCTTAAAAAACAATTCTCAGCTATGGAAGGAAAGCACGGTCTACAGCCAAACACAGATTTATTCACAGTGCAGGTAAGTGGCTTAAATTCCACAAGAGTGATAGGGTCGGAAGCTGCAACTACAGCCATTGTAACAATGGGCTTAACTAGAGGACAGAAGAGATCTAGCAGGCCTACTCATTCAAACATTAACCAATGTACGTTCCCCTGCATCAAATCTCAAAATAAATAGTGCCACAGATTCTAATGTTGATACTCCGTCGATCCAGTGTCTATGATGGAGCTAACAAACAGTGGGTCAACGCAGCTTGGCACCACAATTTATAATTTATATTATATTTTACTGAATGGTAAATGGGAAATACATATATATATATGTAAAATTATGTATGTATTGATTTGACTTTCATTTAAAGGTGACATTGTAATTGCTAAAACCACTACTATCTTATTGGAATGGTTTGTCAGCAAATGCAGGAATTTCTTTTTTATTATTGTTAATTTATTACCTTTGCATTTTTTCTATTATAATGGTGTTTATTTACTAGAACGGATTGACAAAAGTTACAGTGATCCAGTCACTAAGAAAGACCCCAGTAACATGTCCCATTTCTTTATGGCACTTCTTAAACAAAGAAGACCACGAGAGAGTCTGATGGTGGTAGGCAGGCTATTTGTCATGCGGTAACTGTTCCGGGTCCGGCATTTCCGCTATGCGGAGCCGGCCCCGCCCCCTTCTGACGTGGCTCTCTGACTCTACTTAGTGAGACCGCGCCAGAGAGAAACCGCTTGGTGATTGCGGGACCTACTTCCGGGTATACACGCCGGCTCCACATGCTTCTCTCACAAGCCTTCCTAAACCTTTGAAGATAAAAGGATTATGCTTCATCCGCTAGAGGATTACTGGAGAACGGACACTTTACCATTTAACAAGTGGACTCTAATACTGATCTCTTGGAGGAAAACTCACATTAATCTTAAGTATAACTTCCAATTTATTATCTGGAATCTCAGTTATTAATGAACTGTTTCTTGCTTGCTCAAATCTTCTCTGCTGCATACACACTAATTATATTGAGGATAACTCCCATCAAGCTTAACCACTATGAACTGTTTCTTGCTTTGCAAATATTCTCTGCTGCCTGCATACTAATTCTATTGAAAATTATTCCTATCAACCTAAAGAATATTATTCAATACATCTCTGAGGAAATACTTATTGATGAACTTTGTATTGTTTGCTATAACCAGCAATTTCTTCTTATTGAATTATTACCTATATGCTTTTCACTTAAGTTTATCACAATCATTAAAACTTCGTTTGATTTTCTAATTGCCAGCAATCCTCTCTTTTCTTAAAGCTACAGTATTGATAATTTAAAGATTCTCAGTTTCTTCACTATTGTAATTAAGGAGTTCTACAAGCTGCAGTTGAGTCCAATTCAAAAAAACCCTAGTAGCATAACACTATTCCAAAGGAAGGGAGCCGCCTGCGAGAAGTCCTGCAAGCGTGAGTTGGCCGTAAGGGTACGAGCAGCTCTTAAACCATGTATAGCCAGAAACTGTAAAACAACAAGGGCAGTTAAATTGGTTCGAAGTAGTAAATCAAATAAATCTCAATATATAATTTTTAAAAGGGATATTTTATAAGGAATAATCAATTAAACAAAGATCTGCCTAAACAGAAAATCTTCTTTTTCAGTCAAATTCACACCAGCATCCTGAGTGCTGAGACATAAAGCATTATTTGAATAGGAAAAATTAGAAATTAATAG